TACCGATGTCCTCGCGGTGGTCCCGCCAGCCCGGGACCAAGGCCGGACCGTGGCCCTGGAGACCCGATTAAATACGGAAAATCTCTTCTCTGGTCTGGAACGCGGCTGCTCACAGCACGCGGGGTCACCTCCCGTTGTCTGCTCTCGTGACCCCCAAGGATGGCACCGACCCCCGCGATCCGCCACCCTCTGGTCCTGACGCGGGTGCCGGTGGCCACCGAGCCGTGCTTAGCCCGGAGGGGCGACAGTGGGGACGGATCGAGCCCCCCAGACTTCGCCTCTGCTCGGAAAGTGGTTTCCCAAAGAGGGTGGCGGCTGCGGAAGTTTAGCGACGAGATTCGGCGCGTCCCAGCGAGTCTCGGCCACGCGGGGGTGAGGTCACCCCATGGCGACTGTCTCACGCGCGGCGGCTGCGCGGCCAGGAGAGCGTCACAACCTGCAAGCTGACCTCGGGGCCCCACCTGCACCCGTCTGGGGCGACACACGGGGACACAGTGCCGGGCGCGGGGCTCCTTCTTCCTCTGGGCACCTCTGGGGAGACACAGGAATCCCCCCCACCCCGCCCAGGAAGAAACTTCTGGAATATGGGCGTCAGCTGGCTAGGAGTCTTCGTGCCCAGTGACCTCCGCCTGTCACCCTCATTGGATCCCCGGGGTCTTTGCGAGGTGCTCGGCTTGGCCAGCAGTGGGAGCATCTTGAACCCTGGCCTCCCTGGTGAGCTCTGCTCTGCGTCTGGGGACAAATGTCCCCCCTGTCCCTCCGCGAGGTGTCCCGGACAAGCCCACGGAGCCTTCTGTTTTACGTCTGCCCGAAGGTGTATCCTCCCCCCCAAGAATATCTGCCGAGACCCTCGTCCCGGCCCCCTGCGCCCAGCCGAGGTCGCCGCAGTCGCTTTACGAAGGAGCGTCGGCGAGCGCCGACCTCGTGGCCGCCCCCACCCCCCCGAAGCAGAAGCTGTTCCAGGTCAACAGAGACACCTGTCCTGTCACCGCCGTCGATCCTGACGCCCCCCGCAAAGCCTCTTGCTTATGAGGACGTTGGCTTCGGTCGTGGGAGAGCCGCCCGCGTGCGGGTGACTGCCCTTTGTCACAAAGCTGTGGGTCGCACGCTCTTCCCGCGGTCTCCACCTCGGGTGACATCCGTGCGCTGGGCCACGCGTTTGCTGAGCTTCTCCTCCGGGGCCAGAGCGGGAGGGTCAGGGA